ATATATATATATATATATATAAAATTATTTCCTCAAGGATCATCAAAAGCATGTATAATTAGAGAAATGATAGGCCTTTAGTGATCTTTACCTCAATATTTGTCCTTAATTTTAAATACGGGAAAGTAGTGACAAAAGGTAGTGAAAAAAAGGTTGTCTGCTAAGATCAAATGGATTTTAGAAGTAGGTTGAAGTTAAAAGACCTGGGTTCAAGACCTATATTCTTTCTCTCTGGTCTTGGGAAAGGCACTGAGCAAAACTAAGTTACAATTGGGTAAATACTGTCAGTCTCAGAGTATTTGGAGGACTAAATAAGCGAACGCCAGCTACAGTTTTTAGAAATATATATTGTTATGGACATGTTTAACACTTAAAGTAACACTGAACTGGGAAAGGGAAAAATAGGAACACTTCAGTTTTACACACAAAAAAGTTTAAACATGGAAAAAAATCGTTGGTTCAAACATAATATAGCTAGGAATAGAATCTAATTCTAAGAAAACAATCGATTAAATGCTATTATTTTTCTGACTAAAGTTTTGATCCAAAGGCATTCTGACAACGTCAAAATTAATGAATACATTTAACATGAAGCTTGCAAGAGACACAGCAGAAATAAAAAACGTACCAGAAGTACTAAAAGGTTCCTGGCCATCAGAGGAACTCTGGTCTGTTTCTCTTACATAAAATGTAAGCTGAGTTGGTTTCAAAGACTTGAAGCCTGGTTTCTGGAGGTTTTCTAAGTAGACACTTAACCTCTTAAGAGAATTTTCATTGACTTCCTGAAAAAAAATCATTAAGAGCATTTACACACAAAATAGAACAAGAAAATATCATAAATTATATCTATCTGACCTTTTAAATACATTATTGAGTATTAAATAATTTAGTATTTCAAAATGTTGGGATTTCATAGCTCTTTGGGAAAAGATAAAATTGGATCTACATCTCACAACATGTAATAGAATGAACTCCATATGGATAAGATGTAAAAAGATGTAACCACGTAATAGAAGAAAACATGGTTGAATTCCTTTATAATCTTAATTTAGAAAATGCCAATGATTAAATATCCCAAAGTAATAAATGTTTGTTTAATTTATTATAATATGATGTTCTTAGCCGTATGAGTCCCGTAGGCAAGTGTGGTACATTTATTGCCAGTGTAAGACTAAATCATCATCATTATTTTTTGATAAATATTTCTATTTTTGCTAAAATGCAACAAAAGAAGGCTAAATGTGGTGGTTCATGTCTATAATCCCAGAACTCTTTGGGAGGCTGACGTGGGCAGATCGCCTGAACTCTGGATTCTGAGAACATCCCGGGCAACATGGTGAAACTCCAACTCTACAAAAAATACAAAAATTAGTTGGGCATGGTGACATGTGCTTGTAGTCCCAGCTACTCAGGAGGCTGAGGTAGGAGGATCACTTGAACCCAGGAGTTCGAAGCTGCAATGAGCCCCTTGATTGTGACACTGCACTCCCCACCTGAGTGACAGAGCAAGGCTCTGTCTCCAAAAAAAATGAAATAAATAAATAATGATTATGTATAGGAAGTGAATAGGAATTGGGTAAAGGAAACAGGAATATAGGAGCACCTTCTCATTAAACTTGGTATTTAGTTTGAATTTTTTTTTCTTTGAAACCTACAAATGTTTTGCAGATTTTTAAATTAAATCAAAGAGGATTTAAAAAGACAAAAACCCTGTGCATCACTGTGAAACCCTGGACTTTTGAGTCCGATGCTATGAACAGATGGGACTTTAAGCCAGTCTTCCTTAGAAAAGGGCAAGGGTATTATTCTCTAATAGTGAGAAGACTGAATTGAACATGTGGTGACAAGAAGGGTGAAAGGCCTTCATGGAGCTTCAGTTTAGTGAGGGGAGAAAAATAAACAACAAACCTAAAAAACAAGGAAATAGGGTACATGGAAAGGAAAAAAAAAAAAACCAAAAAACAGAAGTACTGCAGGGTAAAGAGGAGGGGGAACGCCAGAGAAGGAAAGTAGAGATCGAAATTTAAAATAGGGTAGTTGGCCGGGCGTGGTGGCTCATGCCTGTAATCCCAGCACTTTGGGAGGCTGAGATGGGCGGATCACAAGGTCAAGAGATCGAGATCATCTTGGCTAACATGGTGAAACCCCGTCTCTACTAAAATACAAAAATTAGCTGGGTGTGGTGGTGCGTGCCTGTAGTTCCAGCTACTAGGGAGGCTGAGGCAGAAGAATTGCTTGAACCAGGGAGGCGGAGGTTGCAGTGAGCTAAGATCACGCCACTGCACTCCGGCCTGGCACCTGGCGACAGAGTGAAACTCTGTCTCAAAAAAATAAAAATAAAATAAAATAGGGTAGTTTAAACAAAACAAAACAAACACAAGTAAAGTGGGATAGTCTGGGAGAGCCTCACTGAAAGGTGACACTTCAGTGAGAAAGTAAAGGACAAGCCATATCTGGGATATCTGGGAAAAGGATGCTCCAAGCAGAGGGAGCAGCTAGGGCAAAGGCTTAACACAGAGGAGGAGTCAATAAATACAAGTTTAAAGAGAACATGAAAATGTAAACTTAGCAGAACCATTAAGCCCTAGGCACATTGTGTCAGAGGTCCCCAAAACCACTCTCAGTTTCAATGATTTACTAGAAGGATTCACAGAACTCAGACAAGCTGTTTTACTTACCGTTATGGTTTATTACAACAAAAGAATGCAGATTAAAATGAACAAAGAGAAAAGGTATAGAGAGCAGAATCAGGTGAGACAGGTGCAAGCTTCTAGTTGTCACTTCATGGTGGAGTTTTATACACCGTGCTTAATCCCCCCAGCAAAGGTGTGTGTCCAACCAGGCAATTTCATCCAAGTCTGGATGTTCAGAATTTTACTCGGGGTTAGTAAGGTAAGCATTTAGTGCTTACGTAACTCACTTTAGCTATTCAGTCTCAGCTTGCCAAATCCCCCAGGTCAAAAGAATACAGTGCAGCCCAGGGCCTTAGACACAGGAAAACAGGTATTCATTATAAATCACATTGTTAGCATAAACTATCTGGCATGGCCCAAGGCCTCAGGCAAGCAGAAACAGTCCTATCAGGTAGGACATTCCAAGGACTCAGAGCTCATCTCCCAGGGGCCAGTCAAAGGTTAGCACTGAGGTCAGACCTTTCTTTAGAATGTGCAAGGTTTAAGCAATCCAAGCTCGCTGAGTTAACCCTTTACCACATATATAAGGTTTTGTTGTTTGTTTTTTAAATTTAAGAGATGATGTCTCATTATTGCCCAGGCTCGAATTCCTGGGCTCAAGTAATCCACTTGCCTCAGTGTCCCTAGTAGCTGGGACTACAGGTGTGCCATCATGTCCTGCTGCATATAGAAGTCTTAATTTTAAAAAATGCATTGGTAGAAGAACATTAAAGTATTACTAAGCTTGATTTTTCCATACATGTTGAATATTAACATGTCAAATTATTAATGCATCCCCAAGGTAATGAGTATTTTTCAATTGATTCAAGTTATTGATTACTTAGAAAAGTTCTGACTTTGAGTAACCAACATATGTATCAAATATCATAATCAGAATATTTTCCTAGAAGCAAAAAAGCAAAATAGATTTATTTTCCATTGCAAGTAGAAAAATATAACAATGTTCTAATTTTCAAGATTTTAAGTTAGTTTTCATATTAAACTAGATACCAGTGTTAATGAAAATAAAAGGAACCAATGAAGTAATTCCAAAGCACATGGCTTTGTAATATATAGTAGTCCCTTGGTATCCATGGGAGATTGGTTCCAGGACCTCCTGTGGACACCAAAATCCACAAATGCTCAAGTGTCTCATATAAAATAGGGTAGTATTTGCAAATAACCTATGTATATCCTCCCATATACTTCAAATCATTTCTAGATTACTTATAATACCTGAAATAATGTAAGTGCTATGGAAGTAGTTGTTATCCTGTGTTGTTCGGAGAATAATGACAAGAAGGAAAAGTCTGTTCATGTGTAGTACAGACGTATTTTTTTTTCCCCTAATATTTTCAGCCTGAGGTTGGTTAAATCCATGGATGCAAAACCCATGGATATGAAGGGCTGACTGTATTTTCTAATGTTAAAATATATTGACTGTTTTAACTACATCTACCATAAGTCATTTTTCATTTATTTGTAATACTGGAGCACACGTTAACTGATGTTATAGGGAAGTGGTCCAGCAGCATGCATCATAAGGAAAAATCACTAGGGCACTGAAAACTCTTCCATGTATTATCCTTTAAAAAAAAAAAAAAGAGAGATTGATCATGATAACAGAGGTCTCAGGTTTTCTTTCAAACCCTCAACTGTATTTCAAAAATTGGTACCAAAAACATGATTACTAGTACTCCAAAGAGCTTAAATGACAGCTTTATTGCCTGCACAAAACAATGACAGCTTTCACAAAAAAAGCTATATTTTCAATTTTCAGTATCTACATTTCAAATTAGTTCAAAGCATTGATCGTATCACCACAACAGAACAATCCAAATTTATAAAACTCTATGTATTCTACTGTATCAAAGGTAAATAAACTAAACAGAAATGTACACTAATGGTTAAAAAATAAATAGATGTTTACCCTTTCTATGGGGTGCTGTCCAAAGAAATCTGGATGTACTGCAAAATAGAAAGGCCTCAAGGCATTGACCGCTTCAGCTCCTGATAAAGCTCTTGAATAGGGAAACCAGTGTGGAAATATCTTCTCTAGACATAACCTTTTAAAAAGATGCGGATTGGTTATTCATTGAGGCACTCATATACACACAAATCCTCCATGTATAAAGTCAGAATAAAACTAAAAAGTACTATGCACAGCAGAAACAAGATAGATTTTTTGTCGTTTTCTGAAATCTATTAGTTTTACACGTGGTGAGTGCCACATGGTTTCTAAAACCATGGTTATAAATTTTTCTGGTGGAATATGAGAAATATTAAATCTTCCCCTCAATACTCCACTTTGAAATTCAGCTAACTTCATTGCAAATAACCATTTTCTTTATAATTTTCTTATTCAGATAAAAAAACTTAATATCGAACAGTGTATTCCTTTCCTTTCCCCATTCCTTTCTTTTTCTTTCCTTTCTGTTTCTTCCTTTATCTCTCCCTTTCTCCCTCCCCTCCTCCCTCTTTCCCTCCCTCCAACCTCTCTCCCCCTTTCTGTCTTCTGTCTCCTTCCTCCTTCTTCCTTCCTTCCCTCCCTCACTCCCTCCCCTTCTTCTCCTTCTTCTTCTCCTTCTTCTCTTCCTCCTCCTCTTCCTCTTCTTCTTCTTCTTCTCTCTCCCTCTCTCCCCCTCCCTCCCTCCCTCCCTCCCTCTCTCCCTCTCTCTCTCCCTCTCTCTCTCTCTCTTTCTTTCTGACAGAGTCTTGCTTGTCACCTAGGTAGCGGTGCGATCAGGGATCGCTGCAGCCTTGACCTCTGGGGCTCAAGTGATCCATCCACCTAACCTTCAAGCAGCTGGGACTACAGATGCATGCCACCACACCCAATTAGTTTTTTTGCTGATCTCAAACTGCTGGCCTCAAGGAGTCCTCCCGCCTTACCCTCCAAAAGCAATGGGATTACAGTCATAAGCCACCATGCCTGTCTCAATTTTTTTCTTTCTAGCAGCAAACATTTTGATAATTATTATACTTCAAAAGAGACACAGATGTCTATTAGTTCATTCCCTCATTATTAGCACACTAAAATTATACTAGTTGGATAACTTGATATTCTTTTTTTTTTCAGATAGAGTCTCACTCTGTCGCCCAGGCTAGAGTGCAATGGTGTGATCTCAGCTCACTGCAACCTCTGCCTCCTGGGTTCAAGCAATTCTCCTGCCTCAGACTCCTGAGTAGCTGGGATTACAGGCATGTACCACCATGCCTGGCTAATTTTTTTTATTTTTAGTAGAGATGGGTTTCACCATGGTCTGGTGAAACTCGAACTCCTGACCTCATGATCTGCCTGTCTCGGACTCCGAAAGTGCTGGGATTACAGGCATGAGCCACTGTGCCCAGCCTATTTGCAGTTTTTTGAAAGCAGTTCCACAACACCTATTTTAAAACGTTGTAATTTACCTTTTCCATCCTAAGCTTCATTTCTTTTTTGACACAGAATCTCACTCTGTCGCCCAGGCTGGAGTGCAGTGGCCTCCAGATCTCGGCTAAACCTCCGCCCCCTTCGTTCAAGCAATTCTCCTGCCTCACCCTCAGAAGTAGCTGGGATTACAGGTGTGTGTCACCAGGCTCGGTTAATTGTATTTTTAGTAGAGATGGGGTTTTGCCATGTTGGCCCGACTGTTCTTGAACTCCTGACCTTAGAAGATCTGCCCGCCTCCCAAAGTGCTGGGATTATAGGCATGAGCCACTGCACCTGGTCCAACCAAAGCTTTTTATAATGAAGTCTCTAGACATTGCACATGCTTTTGTTCTCATACATGAGGTGTGCCAAGTGTTTAGAAAAGTTTTATATTTTTAAAATCGTAAAGATTGTGGAATCATTCCTGGTGATTTTTACACAATCTGGAGAACCACCAACCTATTTTCAGATTATCTTTCGTTTTCCCCATACATGTGAACCTTTTATAAAGTCAGTATATGGATTTGTACATGAAGGAATGAAACAGGAGTTTAAAATAAAGGAAACAATCTGCCAAGATTAATAAATATTAGCTAGTCTAAGTAAACCACAGTGGCAACTCCGCTTATCCCGCTGAGCTTCTGTTCTCATTTCCCAATATCTGACATATACTTAGCTCTCCTGCCAGCTGCTCAAATTTTACATATCTAAAAAAAAGAAGTACAGGTCATTATTATCTTTCTAAACTCAGCCTGGTTACAGAAGGCCAGGGAGCAGTTAACAACTCAATCCAGGATTATCTTATTTTTGTTGTTGTGGTACCACCTTTCTCAATGTGGCAAAGCACAAAACCCAGATTAGTTCACTACCCTCATTTGCTTTCAGTTAGTACAATCTTCTCACTTTACAATGTTCAATGAAATAATTCCTTCTTTCTACTTTCTCTATCAATTATTATCACTATAAAACTGGACAGTACAGTCTCATAATTAGTCTACTCTGCTGTCCCTTTCTCTGACCATATTGGGTATCACCAACAGATTAACTTTCCTAAAATCCCACCATCACTGTACTCCTTACTCAAATAGCTTTGGTGGTACCCTAATTCCTGCAGAATAAATCCACTCCTTAGTCTAGTATTTGAAGCCCTCTTTGATTGTTTCCCCATCAATCTTTCCAACTTGATCTCTAATTAAGGATTTGATTGGATTCTATAAGGAGTATTTCCTTATAGAAACCCTCAGTTCCAGCTCCCAAGAATCTTCCTCATTCTTCTCTTTTTGTCCTACATAATTTCTAAGCCCTAATGCACCCTCCCTGACCTGCATTTTTACCTATGTAAACTGTACTGTCACTGAACAATTAACTGCACACCTCCATGTGCCAGGAGGCATTGTACCTATTCCCCAGAACCTTTCCCTTTGTATTCTCATTAGTCGCCCCCTTTTAAACTCTAAAGAAAAGAAACTGTGTGCCCGAGTGAACTGAAACGTAAGACCAAAAAATGAATTGTGTTAAGAGGAAACTTGATCTGTTTTTAGGCTTTTCACACCTAACTATTCTGAAAGACAGTATTATTTTTACCTTCTACTCTGAACGTACTCTTGGAGGACCTGTCTGCTCACGTAAATTTTCTTTCCTTTTTTGTTTTAGCTTCTGACCATAATATAACTTCAGAATTAGAAAAATAATAACACACTGAAATTAACCAAATGCATAACAGACCTCCCCCCACCAACACTAATTACAGATTGGACCATGATGCTTACCTCCTCATAGGTCTCAGGTGGCAAAACATTTCTGGATATATATGGACGTCAACTTCCAGGCATCCATTAATTGCTTAAAAGTTAAGCAGATACCACAAATGAACAAGTGGAATTTGAAATGTAAAACACATTATGATTTATATTATCACCCCAAAATATGAAATACTTTGTTATTAATCTTATAAAACATGTATAAGATCTAGATAAGGAAAACTACAAAACTCAGATGAAGGAAATAGGAAGGCTAAATAAATGCAGAGATACTCCATGTTCACAGATAGGAAGACTCAATATTGTCAAGATGTCATTCTTCCCAACTTGATCGATAGATTCAATGAAATTCCAATTAAAATCCCAGCAATTTAATTTGTGGATATGCAAATGGATTCTAAAGTTTATAAGGAGAGGCAAAAGACCCAGAGAGTAGCCAACTTAATAAGGAAGGAGAACAAAGGTGGGAAAACTGACACTACTTTATTTCAAGACTTACTCTAAAACTAGAGTAATCAAGACAGTGTGGTGTTAGTGAAAGAATGAATAGATCCATAGAACAGAAAAGAGAGCCCAGAAATAAATTCATACAAATAAAGTCAACTAATCTTTGGCAAAGGAACAAAGGTAATCCAGTGGAGCAAAGAGAATTTGTTCAATAAATGACACTAAAACAACTGGACAACCACATGCAAAAAACTTAACCTGGACACAGACCTTATAATTTTCACAAAAATGAGCTCAAAATGGATCATAGACCTAAATACAAAATGCTATAAAATTCCTAGAAGATAACAAAAGAGAAAATCTAGATGACCTTGGGGAAAGAGATGACTATTTGGATATAACACCAAAGGCACTATCCAGCTTAAGTAATAAGCTGGACTTCGTTAAAACTGAAAACTTCTGCTCTGTGAAACACAATGTCAGGAGAATAAGACAAGCTGCACACTTGAAGAAAATATTTGCAAAAGACACATCTGAAAACCAACTGTTAACCAAAGTATACGAAGAACTTCTAAAGCTTAACAATGAGAAAACAAGGAACCCAATTAAAAATGGTCAAAAAACCTTAACACTTTGACATACAGATGGCAAATAAGCATATGAAATGCAGTTTAATATCATGTATCATCAGACAATTGCAAATTAAAACAACAATGAGATGCCACTGCACATCTATTAGAATGGCCAAAATCCAAAACACTGACAACACCACCTGCTGGTAAGGATGTACAGCCACAGCAACTCTCATTCACTGCTAGTGGAAAGTGGGCAGTTTCTTATGAAAGTAAACATACTATTAACAATACTCTCCAGCAATAGTAGTCCTTCGTAATTTACAAAACAAACTGAAAACAATGTCTACACAAAAACCTGTGTATAGGTGTTTATAGAAGCTTTATTTATAACTGCTAAAACTTGGAAGCAACCAAGATGTCCTTTAATTAAGTAAATGGATAAACTGTGGTACATCCAGACAACTGAATATTATTCAGGATTAAGAAAAAAGTCCGGGAGGAAACTTAACTGCATACTACTAAGTTAAAGAAGTTGGCTGGGCACAGTGGCTCATATCTGTAATCCTAGCACTTTGGGAGGCCGAGGTCGGGGGATCACCTGAGGTCAGGAGTTCGAGAACAGTCTGGCCAACGTGGTAAAACCTTGTTTCTACTAAAAATATAAAAATTAGCCGAGTATGGTGGTGGGCGCCTGTAATCCCAGCTACTAGCGAGGCTAAGGCAGGAGAACTGCTTGAACCCAGGAGGCAGAGGTTGCAGTGAGCTGAGATCATGCCACTGCACTCCAGTTTGGGCAACATGAGCAAAAACTCCATCTCAAAAAAAAAAAAAAAAAAAAAAAAAAAGAAGTCAATCTGAAAAGAGTGCATTCTCTATGATTCCAAGCATATGAACTAAGCAGTCTGGGGAAAGGCAAAAAGTCTGAAGACAGTATAAAAAGATCTGTGGTTGCCACGGGTTAATCAGTAGGGAGGGAGGAACAGGGAGAGAGCAGAGGATTTTTAGGGCAGTGAAACGATTCTGTATGAATACTACAATGGTGGAAGCATCATTTGCCAACATTTGTCAAAATCCTTAGAATGCACACCAAGTGAATCCTAATGTAAAGCATGGATTTTGGGTGATAAGGATATGCCAATGTAGATTGACTGTAATAAATATACCATTTTGGTGTGGATGCTGATAGTGAGGGAGGTTATGCGTCAGCAGGGATGGGAGTATATGAAACCCTCTTTACTTTCTGCTTAATTTTGCTGTGAACCTAAAATTGCTCTGAAAATTAAAGTCTATTTTTAAAACGAGCTATAGAGATAAAAGTGGGGGAAAGGATTTGTATCATATGAACTTTTCCAACTTTTCTAGCAAGGCACTGGAGTATACTGTGGTCTATCAACTGACCAAGTGATTTTTAAATCCTATGAGCAGTACCTTATTAAAGTCTTGCAAGCCCATTTTATTCACATAACCACCAGGTAAAAAATTATTTTCTCCCCTATGTAATTGAGCTCTGAGCTTTTTCCGTTATCCATTATTCCATTCTTGTAGAGATCTGTTGAGCAGCACATTCTCATCAAAAAAATTACCACATGGCTAAAGTCCTTTTCTGTAACATCTTAAGCACCGTGTGTGTGTGTGTGTGTGTGTGTGTGTGTGTGTGTGTGTGTGGCAGCCAATATATGTGAAAACAAAGTAACCTAATGAAACGTAATTGTCATTAATAGAATGAGAGAAAATTTGAAAGGAAAAATCAGAAACATCTTTTTAAAAAGTACATTCTCAAACAAAAACAGATACTTCATTTCTAGGTTGAATGATGTGGCAAAAGTTTCTGAGATACAGAATGTGTTTATAGATATCCACTTAAATATTTAAAAGGTGGCCCAGGTGCAATGGCTCACACCTGTAATCCCAGCACTTTGGGAGGCTGAGGCAGGAGGATCACCTGAGGTCAGGGGTTTGAGACTAGCCTGGCACACACAGCAAAACCCCGTCTCTACTAAAAATATAAAAATTAGCCAGGTGTGGCGGCAGAAGCCTGTAATCCAAGCTACTTGGGAGGCTGAGGCAGCAGAATCGCTTGAACCCAGAGGCAGAGGTTGCAGAGAGCCACGATCACACCACTGCACTCCAGCCTGAACAACAGAGCAAGACTGTCTCAAAAATAAAAAAAAAATAAAATAAATATTAAAAAGGTGATTTTATTTAACCATGCACATTGATATTTTGTTTGAGACAAATACACAGATAACAAAACACTTCTACCACTTCAAAGAGTTCTAAGATCAAATGGAGATACAATGAGGATAAAAAATAAAAAACCATTTGGGGCCAGGCACAGTGACTCATGCCTATAATCCCAGCACTTTGGGAGGCCAAGGCAGGCAGATGACCTGAGATCAGGAGTTTGAGACCAGACTGGCCAACATGGAGAAACCCCGTCTCTACCAAAAACACAAAAATTAGCTGGCCATGGTGGTGTGCGCCTGTAGTCCCAGCTCCTTGGGAGGCTGAGGCAGGAGAATTGCCTGAACCCAGGAGGCGGAGGTTGCGGTGAGCCGAGATCATACCATTGCACTCCAGCCTGGGCGACAGAGTGAGATTCTGTCTCAAAAAACAAAACAAAACAAAACAAAATTTGGACTATTTGAAGTTTCAATGTTACCTGTGAGGAACTGAATTCTCACCAAACTTCATCATAAGGTAATCAAAATAATCTAGATTTAGTTAAGATAGCACAAGTGCAAGCCCTCAAGCTTGCAAAGAAAAAAAAGACTAGAAAAATATGCAATCTATAACAATGGCTATCTCTAGGTGGTAGGATATTAAATGTTTAATTTTGTTTCTTATTTCCTAGATTATTTACAACAAACACGTGAAATATATTCTTTTTTTTT